AATTGGAAATCACTGTCACAGTAGGATCAAGGACTTGGTATTAGGACATATTCTTAAAGTATTAATGCCTTTTTAAAGTCTTTAGTTGATCTTGCTTTACTGAAAAACGCAGCTTTTGATGGTCTTGGCAGACCATGGCAGACATTTCTAATGAAAGGCTACACATCCATATAGGAGCAGCAGCATCACAGCTGATAAAGCCCTCTCCCTTGTCCCCGTTAGAAGCCTCTGAATGAGTGATCAAAGTTGTGAGAACAGTGGAGTGATACTCTTCCAAAAGGACTCCGTATACTCACAGAGAACAGCAGACATGATATCAGCTCTAATACCTCCAGTGTCTCTGTTTAACCCCTGACATTTAGCTACATAAAGCAGGCACATGGAAGAATAAATGCTCAGAATCATCCAAAGCTCAGGCTCTATATATCAGCACGTGGTACTTGCATGTCTCAGTCCTACACACAGTCTCTCATACAGTCCAGACTGGCTGCTTTCTGCGTCAGCAGCATGCCTGACAAGCCTCCTGTAGACTTCGATGAGTTTTAATTATTCACAAGTATGCTTCATCGAACAGAACTGGGGCAGGGAGAAGAGCTATGGGGAGGTAGATTACAACTCCCCACCCCTCCCATCCCTCCCCTTACCATCTGCCAAGCTGCTGGCAGAGGTAGTTATAAATAGGTGTTACACATTCACACACAAGTCAACAAAAGTGCTCCCTTGATTTACAGAGATTTGAAAGGTCTGTCAAAGGTGCGGCAGGAGCACATGCACAGGTGATGAAAAGCTGGGTGAGCACATGTTTTGAGATGACACATGCAGCATGTAAATATGTTTGAGGGAGATCAATATTTTTGTGGTATGTCATAATAAAACCAGTACATTGGCAGGAGCATGTACGTACAACTGCTGCTGGTGCAAAGATCAATGGTATGTGGACAATACACATACTCCTGCAGGCAACTAACACATAGCACTACTTTTCTGTCTCTAGTTCCAAAGACTAAATCAAATCAAATCAAATCAGGTTTATTGTCATTTTGCTGTACATACACAGTAGTACAGACAAGATGAGAGAGCGTTTCTTCAAGATCATTTAATTAGTAAGTTTTGCGAAATGCACGTGTGGGATAAACAAGACACTAAACGTTCACTCTCGGTGTCTCCTGAAGGGGCCGCTGCGTCCACGCACACCACCATTAATGATGATTAATTAATGATTAATGATGGCCAAATGAAAGATTGTATGGACATAATGTTATTCTGAAGTGCAGAAAGTCAGTGGTATTAAGTATGACTTATTATTATTATTATTATTATTATTATTATTATTATTATTATTAT